AAAATCTAAGGTATTCTTGGTGATGAAAAAAAAAAACACCTTTGTTATGAAGAAAAATTCAAAATATTTTTGAGGAGGTAAAAAGATAAGTCACTATCAGTGGTACTTTAGACTCATGCCTTTTTAGTCACAATGGATTGCTTAAGACAGACTTGAAAGTTTTGGCTAAATTACCAGTATTCAAAATTTTAAAACAAACAAGAGTTGCTCCTTTCAATCACTGATTTTAGTTTTTCAAAACAAAGGTCACTGGTCACAATGCTCAGACATCTAAGAGAGCACAGATGGAGTCATCAGGGGAACAATTGTGTGAGGTTATAGTTCAAAAGCACCAGTAACAGACCACAACACACAACACCACAACACACAACACACAACACCACAACACACAACACACAACACACAACACCACAACACACAACACACAACACACAAGGTAAATTGGGAGGTCAAAAGTAGACTTAGGGAGATGGCAGAGTTGCTGAAGGTGTAGGTCACACTGAAAAAGGTTACGTACCTTTTTCACAGGTCTTCCCTGTTTCATTCTAAGTATCTCATCCACAATACTTTGTAGACAAAGGCTCATAAGAATTGCCTAAATTTAAAAACGCATGTGATACAAATTCAGTTTATAAGTATAGTTCATCCTTCTTTCATTACACAAAAAGAAACCTTTCTTTTTGCTTACCCAGCTGCTTTCCTGTGTATCTATATGAACCTTTAACCCATATAATTATGTGATGAGCACCTAAATTCTTCCCAATCTATCACTCCTGACATCAAACATCAAGGTCAAGAGAATAAAGGAAATCATCGCAAACCCAAGAAGCTCTTTTGACTCTGTAAAGACTTCCTCGGTATTTAATTCTGAGAATTCCAAGTACACTACAATAACGCAAATTGAACAGCTTAGAAATTCTCTGAGAGCCTTAATTAGCGAAGGACACTAAACACCTACATCCAAAGAGCTTATCTTCTGTGCAAACTTCCCGCTCAATAAAACTGTCTCATTAAAAAAAAAAAGGATAATTCACACCAAACAAGTCATGCAGCCAAATTTCTCGATTGCACCTACACCAATGTGTCACCCTTCAAAAGTTAAGCTGTGCGCAAATTACGCAAAAGACATGACAGAATCTGTACCTCATCACTGTAAATTGTGATCCACTCCATTTCATCTTTTTTGATGAGGTATTCAAATGCGAGTTCCTGATGCTCTTGCGTATCTCCATTTTCATTCTTTTCACACTAGCATAGAGAAAAATAGAAGTAATAACACAATAAGTAGAAGTACTTAATGACACAATTCAAAGCTGTGCTCTCAGAAAAATTGAGGGGAGCCCAGTACTCTGAAACTGTGAAATCCAGGGTGCCCAGCATATGCTTTTTGTGAAAAAACTAAAATTCCTGAGTCGCCCAAGAGCAAAAGTAAGGCGCCAGGGGCCACCGGGCACTGCTAGACCACAGCTCTGCAACTAACTGGTGACAAATTGTGATCAGCTGAGCTTTATTAAGACATTTGAAACCCTTTTACAAAAGATTTTAAACAACTTTCACCACTCAACTTTTTGAAGACAAAATTAATAATTCCTTTTCTCCAGAACAATAGCTCAATTTTCTCAGTAAATTATTGTTACCTAAATTATTGTTATTTTGTTACCTTGGCAGATAGCCTTAGATATAATTGATATTGATATTAATAATTCACTTACTGACGACGTTATCCTCCAGCATCTTATTCTCGTCACCTTAAAGCTCCCTTCTTGAATCTTATTCTGCAAAAAAAAGAGGACGTTATGCAAAAGTCTAACAGGTCCCTTCAAGCCACAAAGGTGGGAAATTTTTCTTGTGAAGTTAAAACTCTGTTGAGGTGCAGATGTAAGCTTAAGAAAAACAGTGACTGCAATCAGATATACACTTACACCAGGAGTTTGAAGTCTAAAGTTTAGTTCTCTGTTTCCAACACTAATGATGACCCTCGTGTCATCTTCAGGATAGTTTGTAGTGCAGGGTTTAAACTGCAGGTAGCCATAGAATCTTAGTGACCTGGCAAACTGCAAAAACTGCAAAACAAGTAACAACATTTCCTTAGGTCAAAAGATCAGTTACATTGTTTGAAAATGAATGAAAATGTTTCTGATGCTCACAAAACTGTACATGTCATTGCATGATACCTAGCATTGTCTTTATATGGTACAGGAAAAGGCATGAATTTCTTAATGCAATTAAAAGAACCTGAAACTCAGACAATGTGATTTACATTTCAAGTTTTAAGCATCATTATATAAATTGTCTTACCTCTCCTTTGGCACCTTTCTGTTTGAGATCTGCAAGTTTTGAGTGAGCTTCCTTAGGACCAACTGTCCAGCCTCTATCCAAATCACTGACAGCCTGAGAGGAATGACACAAAATCACATTTACTTGTAACTCTGTAAGTGGTCAATTCAGCGGGCCTGCATACTTGATTGTTAAGGTAAAGTCTGTTTACGAGCCTAGTGGCCCATTAGGCCGGTGCTTAACTCCGGTTTCTGTAGCATGAAGTGACTAGGAGTATTTCTACTCCCCCCTGGATGGGATGCCAGTCCATCGCAGGGTTACCCCCAGCATTAAATTGCCAGTACCCATTTATTCACCTGGGTGAAGAGAAGCATTGTGAGAGTAAAGTGTCTTGCCTAAGAACACAACACAATGTCCCAGCCGGGGCTCCAACTCAGACCACTCAATCCAGAGTCGAGCGCACTAACCATGAGGCCACCACGCCTCCACACTTGACTGTTAAAGCTGTATCGATATTAGTTTATGTTCTAGCATTCCCACACACTGGGGACCAGTTTCTCTCAGAACAGGAGTCACATGTCACTATGTTTTTAACATTCTGAACAAGGTGGAACCTTACAATTTGGGAGCTAATTTGTCATGTGTTTTGAGATTATTGTAAGTTTATTTAGTCATATCACGCTACTGACAGAGGTAAGTCACCAAGGTTAGAAAAGGTTCAACAAAGGACACTGAAATTCAAAGTTGTGGTACATGCACGTTTAACAGTTCAATTTAATGAGTGTTATGGTCTAATGGAACTAACATAACAATAACAATAACATAATCTTTATTTCTTAAGATAAAATCACATATCCTAAATTACAACATAAACTCACAAGGGAAACTATTACATGTCATATTTAAAAATTATCCTATTACTAAAAACGTCCTTAAACCTTTCAGTGTGGATTCTAGGGACAGAGACTGACGTATTTCTAAGATTGTACCTCATGTTCTTTTCCTTAGGTAAAAATTGGAAAAACGGCCATTCGGGGTCATTCGATCTTTTTTTGTAGAGTGCCTTGTCCACCTTTTCCAGCAAATCCCTGATATCTNTTATTGAAAGGTCGGTGTCTGAGGCACCATAAACTGGCAGGAACTGTTCTTTACTCACCCTTCCACTAACTGGAAAGCTATCTTTAACCTATCTTTTTGGTGCACAGTAAGGTCAACTGTAAGGTTAACTCTAAACACAGACCTGGTATTTGGCTTCAGGAAGACATATATTATCATGCACATCAAGCTGGAACTTACCTGAACATACAACAAGTTCATTCCTATTCTATCCTGGACGATTTTGTCCTCTATCTTTGGATCCCATAACCTTTGAGAAACAAATCAGTTCATTAAAAAAAACACCTTTCTCTAACAGGGAAAATTGTTGTAATTTCAAGTGCCATAGAAATCTCACACAAATGACCACAATGTGACTCACGTTTTTCTTACAGCCACTCTGCAAGTTCCAGTTTCTGATTTAATTGTCAGAAAGGGAGCTTCAAAGTCCTGAAATCTTCTTACAACTTTTAAAAAAAATGACTTCATTTAAAAGACAGATTGTGTTTCGTTGAGATCCACTCACTTTCTTCACTTTGAAATCGTGTATTTTACAAAACCTTTGTATAAGTTCAGTGGTTTCAAAACAAGCCGGCAATGGCAGGAGTTCCGCCGGCTACTTGATTGCATGTTGCCGCACGCTACTCTCGTCAGAACAGTCTGCTCATAACAAACAATCTGGGCGTTATCACAGCCGCCTACTTTTCCAGAGTAGGCCATCTACTTCAAAACATTTTGAAACCCCTGAAGTTAGTTGACTCTTTCACTCACAAGACCTCATTAGTATTTCTCCTCACGGACTGCTACACAATTCTTGTGATGTTAGTTCAGAGTTTGGTATTAGATTAACTAATAATCCCCTAATTGATATTTTTCTTGATTCTAATCACCTGTCTGCTTGATATTGTATTGATATTGTTAGGAGAAATTCTGTCTTGGTCACTCTTGGTTAACAAATTAATCCACTTACTTGTTGCCTCTCCATCATCCGCTCTTTTAATTAGAAAAAGCCCAAAATAGTACACAAGGTCTTCATTGAGATTAATCTCTGCCATCAAAGACTGAAAAGAGTTCACACAGTGATTATGCATCATAAGGAAAGCGTACTGAGAATCTGTAGGTATTGTTACACAAGACAGATTGACTAGCTGAAATTATGACATACTGACAGACAGAATGTCTGACCAACAGATTGAAGTGGTGGCTGACTGACTGAATAACTGGCACACCAACGGACAAATTAATTAACTAGCTCACTAAATGAATGGTTGACAAGCCAAAGGACAGACTGATTGCTTGCCTGCCTTAATGAATGATTGACTGACTGATGGGCTGACAGACAGACAGACAGACTGACTGACCGACTGACTGACTGACTGACTGACTGACTGACTAACTAACAGATGGACAGACAGACTAACCAACTATCTGACAGAAATATTGACTGAGTGAGTGAGTGACTGACTGACTGACTGACTGACTGACTGACTAACCGACTGACTGGCTGGCTGGCTGATTTGCTGACTACTTAACTGGCTGACTGACCAACAGACAGACTGACCAACTATCTAACAAAAATATCGACTCACTGAATGGTGTACTGACTGACTAACTGACTGACTGGCTGGCTGGTGAGTTGACTTCTTAACTGGCTGATTGACTAACTTACTAGTGAACTGAATAATTCAACTAAACTGACTGAGCAAAACCAAGTGACTGACGGACTACATGACAAAACTGACTCTGGCTGCTGATCCACTATTCAGACCATAATTTAAGTTAATTAATTATCCTGGTAAATCAGGAAACAAAAAGCTTTACTCAATATTTCAACACTCACCTCTAATACATCACCTGTTCTGTCAGTGGACTGTATCTTCAGTGGAACTTTTTGTCCATTCATTAAATAAACATCAAGTTGAACATTCTCAGGGGAGGCAGATAAAGATTCCTAAAGGATAAAATAATATTTTGTTAAATATCTGTAAACTGCAAGGATGACTTGTCAAAATGTGGTAAGAACAAAAAAGAGGCAAACGAGACACAGCTATGTGTGTTGCTGATGTTCTTAACACATTTTAATGCCTTCTGTGATCTATATATCTTATTTGTGTAGTATCGCTGAGTATTTTAATGAGTTGTGCCATATTTTGACAAGCCTGTTGGGTGACTCAAAATACAATCAACAAGTAAAATTACACGGCAATACAACAAAACAAAACATTTAGTAAGATATGTATTATCCAACAAGCCAAATTGATATTTCAGTGTGGTCACATTTTGTAGATATTTCTGGGGTACAAATATCGCATGATAAAATGGCAAATATTGTGTGATATTTGTACTCGTCTTGTGCATTATTTGTACTCTACAGAGCAAACTTGGATAATAAAATTAATAACTGTACAGACCCACAACAACAATGAATCTATTTTTCTTAAATGATGAAAAAGCATGATGTTGCTAATGGTGATGTCATAATACATCATACATGTAAGTAAGAACCAATCACAATGTGTATATGATTCAGTTTGTTGTTTACGGGTAACTACCTTTTGAGCATTAAGGAAAAAACTGATGAACAAAGAGCTAGAAGCAACACCAGGATCTTGACAGACTGATTGTAAATATCTCTCCAGCTGAATTCGTCTTTCTTCAACTTGTGCTGGTGTCAAAGACAAAAGCTTCCTTGGAGGGAACTTTGCTACAATTCTGGGTCCAAACTCTTTGCGCAACTTAAAAAAAAAAAATTAAAAAACAGCCTTAGACAAAGAAGTCTTGTAAACTTGATACATAGGTACATCTAATACTTAATGTTAGACATTTACATATATTTAGATATTCTTTCTTACCAAGAGAGTAATCATCAAAAATTAGGATAAAGCTTTGCAACAGTATTGGAATTCTATTAAGGTCTTAAGCCACTGTTTGAAACAAAAGGCTGGTTTTCATATGTCGGCAAAATCCTAGATAGTTGAAGATTTCACTGTTTCATAACCGTTCCCAAGTTTTCTGACTATTGAAAACTCAAAATAAAAAAACTCCTAATTGTCTGGGATGGTTGGAAACAAATCAAGAAAACTGGAGCACATTCCAGCAGGGATCTTTGTAATGTAGATAATGAACACTCCTATTTTTAATGTCAGGGATGTCTGCAATAGTTTTAACTTGCTACCACTCCATTACTTGGCTCCAGAACCCCTGATCACAAGTAAAATGGCATCAGTAATCCACCAGGACAAACATCTCATAACCGCCCACTATATCAGCAAAATCTAGGACAGATTGCTGATTGTCTTAAATTTTCTTGACATATGAAAACCAGCTTTAAATGTTAAAATCTGAGTTTTCATTGGTCAACAGCATCCACTAATAATTGGCTTGAGCTTGAATTTTTTAATTTTGCTTTTCAATATAAGGTCACACTCAAATTTCACTACACAATTATTATTCAAAAATGCTACTGAAAGACAAAATGCCAGAAGCTTTATCAACTTACTTGTTCATTGAATTGGTAAAGATCTGAAAATCTAATACCACAGTGAAATGACCCGTTGATGTGTACACTGTAAGCCTGCAATTAGAGTTGCAGCATGAGTCAATTAAAATGAACCAAAATTTGCATGCACTCGTTGAAACATTTAATAAGCAAATTGTTACCCTTTTACTCCTAAGATATAGTGGATAATTCTCCCCTCGAGCTACATATTTCCCTGTAATTTAGTTATAAGAGTTTAATGTTTGATCAAGATAGTAACTTCTACCTGATAAATTTGAGTACTTTCATTAGCTAGTTCCAATCTAAAATCTACTTGATATTATATTTCCTTAGAATTAGATTTGGAAATAATATTACTTCAGATCAGTCCAGTTATCAGGATATTTGAAATACTGGCCCCAACGGATTTATGCATTTATATAATGAAAGCTTCAAGAAAATTAAGGTGTAACAATAGATCATGATCTAGAACAATTTACATAATTGCATAGTTTAGTATGCATGTTATTATGCAAGCCTGTACTCATTCACGGCTTTAGTTCATGCATAAAAAACACTTTACTGACGGATCACATGCACACATATAAGGATAATATTACAGAAATATCACAAGATCTTGATAGGGAAGCAAGCATTGGCTATAAAATCAGGACATTATTAGTGTTGCAAAGAATTCACGAGAGCTACTGCACGCTGAGACAAAGATTTGAGAGCGAACTTTGTTGATGTTATGACAACTAAACTAGAAAGGAAAACTAAAATTTAAAATATATATGTCACAGTATAAAAGAAGACAGATGAACATGTATACTATTGTTGGAGGCAATGTATTTCTCAGTGCAAAGGTAGAAATATCTTTGTTTCTGGTATATACAAGTATAAGCTTAACACAGTTGAATATTTAAAACTGCCGGTGCTTATTTAATCGTGATGATAAACAGCGGTGTCACTTGAAGATCAACGCCAGCAGTGACAAGCTGTCACCTTTCAAAGAGGACATTTGCCTTTCCGCCAATACGAAAAATTATCTTTCGATTGTTTTCAAAGCAGTTGCGTGAGCCTTCTGGCTGAAAGTACAATCTTCTGGGTCAACATGATTTGAGAGTTCGAGCTACCTAAGTAGATAACTCATCGGGCTTTAAATGGAACGAAGTAAAGTTTACAGAAGATCGATGGAACTCGGTATGACAAGTCATGAGGAGTTAATACTCACCAAATAATTTGATCCATTCTTGTCTTTACGCTCAATCGTATCAGGAACGGAAAAATGCATTCTGTTGTGCAAAGCAGTCCAAGTGTCAAGCTAAAACAAATCTGTGATTAATCCGTACAGACCTCCATCATATGGGTTGCATTTGAGCTCAGTACATCCGTTTTAGTAGTTGTGATCACGTGTTCTGCGGGTGCCTGGCACCGAATGAGCGGGACGAAACTTTACCCTTCCCTCCCCTCCTCAAGTGAATTCGCATGGGTAGCCAAATATTTCGTTGGGTGCCACTTTGGCAAGGCATGTACTAAGACCAGGAACACCGGAACACCCCGAAACACAGGAACAACAACAACATTTATTTATACCACAAAGAAATAAGATAAGAAACATTAAGAAACTATATATTTAGCGCCTGCTTCTAAGCTCTTTCGTGTTACGTGGGTAAACAAATTACATCTACATTTAATTTTTTTACACCGTCAAATTCGGTGTTCCGGGGGTGTTCCGCCGGTGTTCCGTGGTTTTCCGGTGTTCCATGGTGTTCCGTGATTTTCCGGTGTTCCGGTGTTCCGTGATGTTCCGTGATGTTCCGTGATGTT